AACTTGACAGACATAGTACATCACCATATTATCAGCAATACTGTAGGTTCCAGGTATCCTCAAACCTGTGTTACCAGTGAACAGACCCTCTGTCATTACATGTAGGGGTGTTGGCAGAGGAAATAAGATTAGAATGAAATTTTGTCAACTGTTAATACTGAAATTCAGACAATAAAACAATAACAAAGTTTAAACTTTATTTGATGGATACCATTATTCAACTGCAGATGTAAATGATTATAAATCACAAAGAAGTTACAAGATTAATTCTTTTACAAAATGCATTTGATACATCAGGGAGGCTCACCATTCATGTACAATATTTACTGTATCAAGATAAAAGCTGAAAAAAATCTGTTTATACCTGGTACTCAGCTACTAAAGATCAAGCAAACATCACTATAACAATAAAATGATTACACTTAAGTAGGCCTAATAGATCAACAAAGAAAAAATATCATGTTTAATAACAAATCTAAATCTCAACAACATATATGTAGGATCTTAAATGAGTTTTCATTTCATATGAGATTTTATGAAACGAGTGTTTTTATTTTTGCGAGCCTTGGCGAGCAAAAATTAAAACTTTGAGACGAGTTTCAGAAAAGCTCATATGAAATGAAAACAAATTTATGATACTTTTTATCACATAACTCAGAAAACTTACATTTTGACAGGTTTTAAAGCCAAAATGTAGAGGGCTTAATCAAACGGAGACAGCCATTTTGTTGTGCCATTCATAATTTATGACGTCACGTCATTGTCCATATTATGACGTCACCATTGATTTCTGACTGGCACAGCCAATGAGTGCAAGAAATTATCAAATCTAATTTTAATATCTATTATGTGAATAAGAAAAATTACCCTTCTACAGCGGTATAATGCAGCTTATATACATTAATATTTTGATATGGATGGCACATATATTGACAACATAATGGATTATATATACAGTAACTTTGAACTCTTCAAAATATGCATTTACTTGAAGAGTCAGCTCTGACAGGACTGAAAGGCCTTGTCAATATTTCTTTATTATTTTTGTTTATATTAATGTATTCTTACACAAACAGAAATGACTGATTTTTTAAATTCATGTATACCAGTATGTATATATCACATAAAAACATACCAAACAGAAAATACTTAAAACTGTACGATGAGCTTGTTAACAAATGTACAACCAAGTCTGATTCCACCTTTATCAAACATGTAATGCTTCAAAATAAAAACAGAAATAAATCTGTTTTTAAAGAAAGTTCAGCACATACATTAACAGTCTTATAATAATTATTCCACCTTCATTTTTTTTTATCAAATTCAGAAGTGTTAACATAAAATTCAGTATTGATTTTTCACACTCTTCATTTTATCACAAGACGTTAATTGGAAAATAAATATGAACATACAATAGGAATACGTGATTTTCAATCATTTATAAATAAAACATACACCAAATTAATACTACATAATTTACACATTCGTTTTATACATGAGTCAGTATACAAATGAAGGTTTGAACAGGAGACCTACCATACCTCCATCACTCATCATAATATAAAAAAAAAAAAAAAACTAGCTGAGGCAACAAGTTGAAACACCTTAATAACATGCTGACTATCTCAAGATCCCTTACTGACCCAAAGAAATAAAATATCAACACTTGGTTACGATTGGCTTGGACGAAGTGCGAAAAAGTTTTGAGTGTCTCAGCTAATCTGAGAACATTTGGACATCTATGATATGAACTGATTTGAAAAAGACAGCACTTGATCAGGATCAGGCCTTGTCCCTGAATGTAATATTTGTGTAAATTTTTGTCAAAATAGGCTAGATTGAAAATGAAAAAAAGGACATGTTCCCGGCAATCAGACTACTTTGAAACAGACTACCTGGATTTCAAATCAGTTTGTACCAATGTTTGCTAACATTTGCTTTTTGACCTGGATAAAAAACCTTGTTCCATTTCTCCTAGTGAATCCTGCCACTCTGCTCCTAAGGAGAGCTATGTATACACTCTTCATTTATACAATTATTGCTCCATGCAAAAAAAAAGGTCATAATCCACCCCTCCACACTTAACGGTTAGTCTTTTACAAATTATCCCAGGTTCCCCCTTTTGGGCACCACATCCAGGAGGGTCACACTCTACATTTTCACAAAACTAAATTCTCTTGGGTATGCTCTGTACCAACTCTGCTCAAAATCACTTCACTCACATCTAAAGAACAGTCTTCTAAAAATAATGTCCCTTTGTCCTATGGGTAGGAGACAAACCCTTCATACAAATTACATTTGTCTGGCCCAAAGATGATTGGGTGGGTATCCCTGCAAAATTATGTTTAATCCTTTCATCAGATTCAAGGATAACTCTTTTAAAAATAAACCCTTATTTCCTCTTTTGGACACTGGCCCTCTGCCCCAAGACAAGCCAAACCTTTTGTTTTAACAAAATTGAATTTTCTTGACTTTTGGATGCTCCATTCAAATCGGTCAAAATCCATTCATTCAGGAAGAGAAAAGAAGACTTTAAAAAGAAAGGTTGCCAGATGGATTCTGTAAGCTACAGTACAGCATAAACGTAAATGGCCCTTTGAGCCAGGTGAGCTAAAAACTTCACATTATGCTCAATAAAAAATTTGGTTCTTTACATTTGTGATGATAAAACTTTCACTAAATGCTGATAAATACATATTTAAATATTATGACAACATTTTTCACCATTATGTTCTGTTCACCATTACCATGACCATAAACCCTTACCACTACCGGTATACATCATGCCAATACCTACTGCAATAACAAAATATTTACAACAAAAATAATGTTTCATCATATTTTTGTTGAGTGAACAGCATAAATGTAAAACTATAACAACTTGAATTACTATAAAAAATACCACTGTGATTATTTACCAATATAGCTTATCTACCCAAAGCGATGTTACCTTAAGTGATCAGCCATGAAGACTGATCAGCAATGAAGATGCAGAAAACATATCTACCACCAACTTCAAAACTCCTACAATCTGATAGTCAAATGGCCATGATTCACTCCAAGTTTGATGTCATGGATACCACCAGTGATTAAAGATAATATTAAAGAGTATCCATGACAATCTGTACCAAGTGGTTGTAGATTCAACAGCAAATTGTAAGTCTGGACTATCACAGAATCACAGCCTAGTAGGTCAGGTACTCAAACAAACTTAACTTAAACAGATATACTAACTTAAACAGATATATGTATAGTGATTCCTAAATTAGTATATGGTGCCTGGCTGATTCCATTTGAAGAATGACTGATATAAATCCTTAAAAGATGGGTATTTTAACTTCTTGGTGTAAAACCATATATAAGACTCAGCAGTTTCTGATGTATTAAAAGTAATCCTCCAAATGATATAGAAAAGAAGTTATATATTGCTTTTGTGTTGAAATAATGTTCTCAAATTCAAAGTCTTATAAAAACAAAAAATGCAGACTGGTTTTATAAATATCACAGAAAAAAGAGAGTTTTATGTATTATTTATCCAAGACGGTTTATATATATATTCATATATGTCAGTGACACCGTATACAACCAGTGATACAAACAGACCAATGAAGGACAGTAAAGGACATCAATAACTCATTCACCCCTGAAATGTCATAATGAACTATTCAAACCTTTGAATTGGAAGAGTCCAAAAGTGTCTTCAGGGGTGAATTAGTTATCATTCAGAGGAGTTTAATTCCACTAGCTCGATGCCAGACTACCTGGTTTTCAATTTAACGTCAAAATGTCAAAATCAGTTAAAAGTTTCAATTTGAAATTATGGGTTAGGTATACTAAATAGTAGAATATTTTGAAAATAACATGTATCCACCACAGATTTCATTGGAATTCTTCAAGAATTACTACTTATACTAAGTTATAGGGACCTTGTGTCTCCTTCCCTCACCTTGAGTGATAAATGACAACAGGTCAACTTAAGAAATGAAATACATTATTTCACGTATCCATCATAACACAAATATGTTACTGATTTTTTTAATATATGTGAATAAAATATATACAATACTTAACTTTGTAATTTTCATTGAAAACCTTTTACATTTCCTATTGATACAAAAACAATGACATCCAAAATAATTGACTGTATCCTATATAAAACGTTCTTAAACAATAGACGCCCGTTACATGCAATAATCTAAACAATCAAAGAGGATACACTTTTTTTCCAAAAAATCAAATAAAAGATCAAAACATTACATTTCAGCTTAATATTTATGTAGCAAAGGTGACTGATGCCAAAACAAATATAGCTGTGTTTTCTTTTTTGGCAACAAAGAAAAATTGTAGGCAGGTAAGGAAAAAATTTACCTGTAATTTGTTCCAGACGATGGAAATTTCATTTTCTTAAATGAATATATGGGTTCTTTTTTACAAATAAATGTACACTTAAGTTTAAAGATATGTCATAAATACTTAGTTAAGTAATACAACTATTCTGCAGTTTGGGTGTAAAACTAGCTCTGTCATAACCCTGATTCAATTTCTTAAGAAAATATATCTCGGACTATAAAATGCACAAACAAGAGGCCCATGGGCCTTAACGGTCACCTGAGTCTACAGTATTTATTTTTGTTGTTGAAATATGTACCAATTTGAGTAAAAAATAGTATAATGTTAACTTAACTTTGTCAGGACCATGAGCTGATCATTCCTAGACCAATTTTAAGTGAGATCGGCCTATTAGAACTTAGTAGCAAAATAGCGGCCATGGCAGCCAAATTGTATTTCTGATTGACCCGAAAAATAACAACACTTTGTCAGGACCATGAGGCGATCATTCCTACCAACTTTCAGTTCAATCGGCCCAGCAGAACTTGACTTTAAGTTTGAAATGTAAAATGTTAACGGACGACGGACGACGGACGACGGACGACGGACGACGACGGACGAAAACGGATAGCAATAGGTCACTTGAGCTAAAGCTCAGGTGACCTAAAAAAACAGTTTAAGTACTGGTGAATTTAATTACAATGAGAGACAAAAACCTATTAAACGAAAATTAATGTAAGTTATATCTAATAATATTATTTTCTGTTTAAGTTTATCTGATGAAAAGCTTTTAGAAAAACAGATGTAAGATAAGCAATCACCCTTATATAAGAGATCATTTAACAAGCACAAGAATCCCTTTTCTCGTTTTCTACGCCCATCGATTGCAGTCCCTTTCCCTGGGAACTCTTTGCCAGGGAGATAACTTGAACATTACTTGGTAGGCCTGAATGCTCACCACTGATGTATGGAGACATTAAAGGTTTACTGCTCTTAAGCTTATGAGCGAGCGTCATGAAAATAGCATCCACATGGTTGGCACGCTCGTCATCTTTGGCTGATGTTTCAAATAGTGGCATGCTGTGGGAGTCAGCAAACTTCTGGGCCAGGTTTGTGTTTACAGCAATGCGCAGTTTCATGTCACACTTGTTTCCAACAAGAAGCCTGGGTATGTCTTTGTTCAAGTTGTGTCTGTCACATTCCTCGATCCAACTAGGCATGCTATCAAAGGAGCTCATCTTTGTGACATCGTAGACAAACACAACTGCATGTACATTCCTGTAGTAATGCTGGACCATTGACTTTCGGAACCTCTCTTGGCCCGCTGTGTCCCACAGTTGTAGCTGTAATACAAAATAAATCATAAAGCATAAAGGTAAACTGAGATACACACATAATACATGTACGTATCAAATGTTCTCACTTAGATTTGAAATAGGTGAATGACTACTGTTAATCGAATGTTCACAATTTATGATCTTTCCTTATGCATATTCTAAAAAATCATCAAAGTTGATGAAATAGCAGGCTACTTTTGCCACCACCTGACATGTAATGAGAACACTAGTCTTTGTCAGTTAACTATCAGTAACATCTATCAATAAAATATCCTTTAGACATTGTTAGCCATACCCAAGTCTCAACGGATATCCAACATAGATCATGTATGGACTAATTTAGAGTTGTATTATCTCTGTTGAGTATAACATATAACATATAGATTACACTGAATAAGTGATTTCCTGGTTTCATTTAATCTCTTTTTTTATCTTAAAATAAATTAATAGTATTTTAGTAGAATTTTGTTATCTTAAATCTTCAATTAAAAGAGTAAATATTGTAACAAGAATTAATTAAGTGTGACAGGTTCATGTTTATGATTACATCGAACGTTGGAAGCACATTATTCTCTTTCCTGTTACACAAAATTAGTCGGACCAAACTTTAAAAACTGGGTTTTCTTGGGAACTCTAGAGGAAAACTTTAACATCTGAGCTACATGTATTTTGGTACTAATATGCTTGTGGTAGGAAGGTTCAAGGCCATGGGTCAATTTTCACAATCAATATTGAATATGTATTGAAGAAAATAAATTTACTTTAAATAATAGGACAAGACACATGGCCTATTAAAATTCTAGAAAAGATGGAAAATAGTCCATTGCTTTGTGCATATAATCAATAATCAAGCACATGTCTTGGCTGTGGTAAGTTTTAACAGCGATCATTTAATAAGAAAAATTATACCTGTTCTATTGGTGATTTACCTAACTTTTGTTGATGTACAGAAATAAGGAAGCTATAAATGGATCAAAGAATCTCAAAGGAAGAAAATGTTGTAGATATCTGATCTTTGTCAGTGACCCTGTGTGAAGGTCCCTGAAAATACCCATAGTAGTATATGTATTATGCACGCACAATATAGAAGTGATGTCATCCCATTACTTTTATATATTTTAAGGATGTCTATTGGCAAGAATACCAGGTAATAATAGGAACAAGAAAATGCAGACAATTTATTGTTTGACATTTAGAATTCAATTGACCTCTATCTTGAGTGAAAAGCATTGCATGTTCTTATGAAAAGTTATGCAGGTCACACCATCTATTGATAATCATATTGTTATAGTGCATCTGTTTCTCTGAGTTTGTTTTGAGCAAAGCTTCCATTGACTTCCTTGTAATGTACATATCATGGGTCTGAAGATTTGTAACTCGAGTAAAAAGGTAGTTAAGGCTGACAAACAGCTGATGTTGTATGCAGACAGTGTTGTTGTTTGTCTGTTTCAATCCCTATGCAGGCTATGGGAAATAAGGATTTGCTCCCAATTTTGTCCACAAATTTACCACTTATACACAATGTCTGAGCATTTATTCTCCTAAACAGCCAGGTACATGTATATGTTTACCCAGTACATGTAAATTATAAGTAATGTACTAAAACAGGGCATTTTGCCAGAATAAGGACTGATTCGTATCCATGATTATTTAAAAAAAAATGAGTTGTCTTTGTTCGATTGTAATATTATGAATTCTAAATGAAGAATGATATTACCTGTTTCTAAAATATGACACACTTCCATTATAATTAGTTTTAGATTTTAATACCATCACTAGAGGCCTATTCACTAGCTAAAAAATATGGCCATAGTACAAGGGACTGTTCCTCTCATTATATGACATAAGATTTTGCTACAGGTATGCACAATTGTTTTCTTAAAAACTTACACATTGATAACTAGAAGAAAAAAATAATAATAATATGTTGCAGATCCAGAGGTCATTATTCTTTAATACCATTGCTAAGGATTGAAGCAGGGATATCTGGCTTAACAGTTTAACAATTATGGTAATTATGTACACCATTCCATGTAATAAAGACAGTGAGCAGGTCCAGTACACTCTGCCGATTGAGCTATATAGCTGTAATGACCTATAATAGCTCTATTGACCTATCTGAAATAGGTATTTAGAGCTATTTTCATGTGATTTTCTTTTTTAAGGAAAACGAATCAAAGTCGCTTTAGAAAGATTTTATCATTATGTTCATAACAAAAGACATTAAATAGAAGTTTTCTTTTTAAAAAATAATGACGTAAAAAAAACAGGAAATTTTACATTTATGAAAAATGAAAATAAACATCTAAATGTATGCTTTTTGTAGACAACATTACCATAAACTTTATTGTTTTATGCGACTGCTTTAATTAAATGAAAATTGAAATCGGAGAAAATATAGCTTAATACAGATATTATTTATAAATTATAGGTGAATATAGCTATATACACAGGTTGGGCACAACGGCATACAAATTTTTTATTTTTTATTTAGGATAGTGAAAGTAGATTCGAAGTGCATTCAACCATAACATACAAAGATGTTACCCAAATGCAGGATTATTACCCATATGCGCCGTTGTGCCCAACCTGATACATGTAGGTCTTTATAGCTGTATAGCTCAATCGGCAGAGTGTACTTGACCTGGTGAGAGCAATTCTATAGGTTAATGTATCATACTTGGGGAAAGGCTAAGCTGTCAAATTTCACACTTCAAGACTCTACTTTTTCAGTACATGACAGCCTTGAAAGTGGCAGCAAATTATTGCGAGCTGTACCTTGACTTGTTCTTTGTCGATTTCAATAGTTCTTTCTCGAAAATCGACACCAATGGTTGCTTCCGTTTTGTCAGGAAATTTCCCACTACAAAATCTGTATGTCAGACAAGTTTTCCCAACGTTTGAATCGCCGATTACTATAATCTTAAATATACGTCTTTGTGCTTGCTTTTCTATGACGGTAACAGACGATTCGAGTTCCTCTTTTTGTTCGGATTGTGAGCGATTTCTTGGGAGTTCTTCTGCCATCTTTCTTATTTGAAATTGAAATCCTCCGTAGACAATTTCAGTTTTGCAAAAGATATCGCTACAACAAGTTTTCACACGGTGTCATCATTGTGAAGTCAGCATTTTGAGGACAAATATGTGATATTTTCGGGAACCAGCTGTAAAATGTCGACTTGTTTTGATGGAAAATATATCCTCGTCATACACACGCTTGAATATAAGCGTTAAAAAACATGTGCGTGGAAGCGTATGAAGCACTCTTATAAAATCAAACAGAAAATTACAATTATATTTTTGATACGACTTTAAAACTCTAATGATTATATTTTTTACCTCAATAAAATAAAATAAATGCACCGTGAATTGTAAATGTAAAGATATCTTCCTTATGAAAAATCTCGTTCAATCGATATGTTAGCGGGGAATCCATTTCCTCCATATTGGAAATTCACCTCGTGGTTTGGGCTTGTTGATTCTATGGGATTTGTCACTTGCCGTTACGTTTAGGTCACCTAAACAATACCAAAATGCCTACCAACAACCCTTTACCTCCAAAAGAAAACAATTTCTTCAAGAGAATTTTGGTAAGCGTTTGAAAAGGAATTGAATATATGAGGGAAAATGTCAAGAGTGAGCTACCCAGTGGGTTGGGTGCCACAAATAGAAAACGGATGTCGTTCAACCAGGTTCATGTTGGGTGTGTTTGATTGCCATTGCTAAGAATGCAATGTCGAGCCGATACGCATTACCACTTATGATGATTAGAATTTGAATGTAAAAATGAGCTGCAGTTTTCTTTAAATGTGTACTCCGAGCTTACAAAATTGCCGGTTCCTTAGTTTCGTTTTTTCATTTTTTGACAAACGAGTAAAATGCCTGATTGCGTGACCTTCATTCCTTTTCTGGTATAAGATCTAATTCCTTTGACATTTCGTTTGTGATGAGTACAGTCTACTTGGACCATAAAACCGGTATTTTTTGAAGATGATCAATACAAAGTTGCTAAACAAAGTTGCCACTTTCTTTACAATCCTGAATTTTGTGTTACAGTATAAAAGGTTTAATTGAATGAATTTGTGGTTTCATTCTACTTCCGTCTGTAATAATTAACAATCTTATTGATGCATATTGAAACAATGATCAGATCCCAGATATTAAATTGATCACATTCTTATAGGGTAAGCTAACAAATATGTCAACCATTGTGGTAATTACCTAGTTCTCGGCCATTGTGCATAATACACAGAATTTTCCCCTAATCACTGTGCCAACAGGCCTGATAAGAATTTTAGCTGGTCAATTATGACCAATTTATATGCGTTTTTGAGGAAGCCAAAGTTATTTTTAAGACAGTCAATTTTCCTGCATGACATCTCATTGTGAATCCATCAAGCTTATCCAACATCATGCACATCCTGTACACCACTCTTCCCCCATCCTTTTCTGAGTCTTCAACCTAAAAGACAACACTATTTTCAACCCAGATTTAGTTCTAGTCTTGCCAAGCATACTTTAATATTACTTGAAACAAGCATTTGTCATAAGTACCTGTTTATACAGAATGGTTGGGTGGCGCAATAGATAACTCACTTGCCTTTCACCAAGGCGACCAGGGGTTTGATTCTCTGATCTGACGTGAAAAGGTATGGGGTCACCTGCCCAACCACATGGGTTTTCTCCGTGTTCTCTGGTTTCCTCCCACCATAAGACCCCTCACATGCACCGGTTTAAAGGAATAAATTTTACATTTACCTTTTTGTAATGCTGATAGAAAGGATTGCCATAGAGGATACATTTTTTCTGTTAGGACATTTTTCAGAGGTTACTCTCCAAGTCTCTAATGATTTCTATGTCAAAGTTATTTTATAAGTCAGTGCAGAGAGTGTAAATGAACATTACTCCTGGAATTTCCAGGATGCAGCCTTGCTGTTGGGACCCTAGACTTTCTTGAGCCCAATGCAAACTGTTACGATAGTACAGCAAATTTGAGATGATATGCATTGTGCATCAGTTGCAGTTTATTGACAAATAAAACTTTCCTTAGTGTGCTTCAAAAGAAAGATTTTAATAAAATCAATAATGAGTATGTTCACAACATTGACAGAACAAAACTGCATATCTTAATAACAATGTATCATTTTGAAAAAGTTTGATATGTATTCAGGGAAAATCCTGGAATTTAAGAGCAGTGGGCCATTTTCTGCAACTGTTAATCAATATCAAAATTAAGAGGGGCCATTCTATGTAAAATTAAAAGAAAATTGGAACATGGAGGGGTCAATTTCAGTTATCAGGGGTCAATCCATGGCTCCTCCAGGATTATCCCTGTGTATTTGGATAAATTGATAGTTATATGTATTGGGTTTATTTTTTAGATAATGGCTAAGGTTGTTGTGATAAATAGAACTCTTAGATCTTTTTGAAGTCATGTTGTGCTTGTGAACACAAAAGTCACAGATAATAAATACATATATCAATTTAATCAATATCCCTACTTATCCCATGGAGTTATACTTCTTAACAAATATATTGTTCAGCATTAGTTCAAAACAAACTCAATTTCTTCATATTTTTATACTGTTCTACTATGATGACAGGACATGACAGTCATTCATTTGATGTATTACCCTGTACCGGTATATGTAATCAGTCACAGCATTGAATATCGATCTGCAGGGCATTCTGGCAGAAAAGTGACTATGTTCAGGGTATGTGGTTGTCATCAACACAGCTACAGTACAGGCTGTGTGAAATCTGTATTGTACACATGTTTACTTTTTTAAAGCTTATAACGCATGTGACAATATTAATGTATCTTGAATTTGTTGATATTTTATAGATTATTTGTTAGGTCACCTGTGACCAGACCATTGGGTCAGGGTCATTATATTTGGCTAATAGCTTCCTGTGATGAAGCCAGACAAAATTTGAAAACAGAAATGTTTTCAAGGTGACAGGAGTCATAATTTGTTAAAATGCACAAATGACTTCTGCAAACTGAATGGCAGTCATATTTGCCAAAAAACATGGTTGCATGGTTTGAAGTAAAAGTTTGCGTACATAAAAAACATTGACCTTTATTGAAGGTGATAGGTCGAATATGTTAAAAAATCTTCAAATAACTGAATTTTTCTGAAGAACCCAAATTCCTAGTGCTGTGCTATTTCACAAGTAGTTTGCATTGTTGGCTTGGTTCATACTGCATTCGAAAGAACATTACTGTTACCTGAAACAAAAATATGGTGTGTATATATATAGTGTATATATGTACCCGGTAATGATTAATCTCCTTAAAGAATTTTTCATGTTTGTAGATTATAAATTATGTAAGGCCAAATAAAAATAATTACTTGGTTCTCAGGCCAATTTTTTTCAAAAGATATGCGTCAGGGTAGTAAAAAAAAAAAAAAACATTTTACATTGCAAAAATGAGACGAGGGCATTTTTTATTTTATTTTGTAGTTTGTAAAACGTTCATTGTGGGCATTACCTTGTCTTTTTTTAGTTGTGTAGAGACCCGTCATAGAGCAAGCATCCATAAATCCCCCCACAATGTTCCAGACGAGAATCACGAACCCCCTATTCCTTATTTGTACCGAAATGAGCGCCATTTGTACACAAGACTAATAAGTCATAATCATGTTAACGCTTGCCTGTATATCAATCCTTATCTTTATTCAAACGTTTTCGGGACTTAGGTGACTAACGAGTAAAAACGACATGCAGACCAATTTCTTCCGGATTTTTTTAAAGATGGCGGCTGGCGCATTCACAATTATTATTTTTTATTACTTTCACGATAAAATCAGCAATGAGGTGCCCTAAAAAAAAATCGCGCAGGCCTTTGAACCAAGTTTTTATTTTTTGGCCTAAGTAGGGTGCTGGTAAACTCGGTATATTCATTAAGTGATAGCCCTGTGGTAATTTCGGCCAGTATTTTTAACAGATGTGCTGTCAATCTTGCTTCGTCATAAACATGTTTTAAGTTGTTGCATTAATATAACAAAACAAAACAAATGAGAAATTTATTAAGAAACTGGCTAAAGAAGTGACTGATCCAGAACAACTTTCTCAATATTTCCTAATTTGCAGAAATGTTACGAGCAAAAGCAGTACAAGAATGGGCTGAAATTTGCCAAACAGATTCTGACAAATCCCAAGTATTCAGAACATGGAGGTTAGTATATTTATTCTTTTTAAACAACAATGTCATCTTCATATTCATAGAATTAAACGATTATCTATAAAGTGCTGATAGATAAAGTACATCTAATTATGTCTATAACGCATATGATGATCATAACAAGGGAAGTATTTTTATATTTATGCACAGAGTTTGCTTATGTTGGGACTTGGCCTGATCATGAGCATTATAGTTATGTAAGCATTCACCCGCCTTAACAGACAACTATTTTAGGAAAACAGGTTGTCAGGAATAATCGGCCAATCAGTAATCGGGAAATGCTTGTAGCATAATTCGAAAATATACTGGATAACTTGTTTCTTTGAACACGCTTTGTGTGTTGTCATTTAGCAAGCATACTCAAAGTTTGAATTAAATTCATAAATAATGAAGGAATCACTGTCTGGAATGTGTTAGCCAATGAGAGTTTAGGAAATACCTGTTACCTGTACGTGTAAGTATGTTTTGATATCGCTAACTTCAAACTTGATCAGAGCACTGCCATTATCTGATTATGGAAGCACACGGCAACGTGAGCTAAATTCTTAGAGTATTGACCTTTTTTGGTATAGTTGATAAACAAGCTTTAACTGAATATTTGTTTATTTGTCCACAGAGACCCTGGCCATGAAGGGCCTGACACTGAACTGTCTTGGTAGGAAGGAGGAGGCCTATGACCATGTGCGGCGGGGACTGAGGAACGACCTTCGCAGTCATGTCTGTATCCTTGTCAAGCAATTCCTTGTTCTTCATTGACTACAAACTGTCAGTCGTCACATGTGAACATGGGAGAGATCTTTATTTACTTGAAAGTCAATTTAAAATTGTCCTTTGAAGTTATTAAAGTCAATTTTATGTGAACTTGTAAATATGATGTGGTCATTAGTCAATCATTGATAAATTGACTAAAACTGATCATTCATAAAGTTTCAACCGATTCCTAGCATGACTTTTCATCACTGAAAAGGAGCTTCTGTCGCGACTTCTTAAATAAAATAAACAGTGTGTTGTGTTCTCTCCTCTAAATCATCTTGAAAACACTTAACAATTCTCACATATAAGTTGATCTGTATTATTTGTTTCACAAAATGGCATGTGTTTGTATTCCTTGACGCTGACCTCCAGGTTGGCATGTGTATGGTTTGCTACAGCGATCCGATCGGAAATATGATGAGGCCATCAAGGCTTACAGGAACGCACTCAAGTGGGACAAGGTGGGTAGTCCTGGCTACTACAGGGAATACAGTGAGACCATACACAGATCACTAAGAATTATATTAGTATTGAATACTTTGTAACGTATCAAAGACTTGTCAGTTTTCTAAATATTTCTTTTCCCTTTAAAAAAAGTATAGATACTTGATAACGCTTCCTAACAACCTGAGTTTTACAGATCAACCACTTTTTTGTAGGCTGTTTAAAATGTAGAATTGTGTTAAATGTTTTTCAGGATAACCTGCAGATCTTGCGAGATCTGTCCTTGTTACAGATACAGATGCGAGACTTGGAGGGCTACAGAGTAAGTAGTCTTCTAATGGGCAATCTTTACAAGTAATATGTGATTGATAATACTCTTCCCCACTACTATGTTCAAAGTCAGAGGGTTCCAACTTTCGCTCTCAATACACATTCCTTCTCTACACCCTTGGAATATGACAAAAATGAAGGCACCTTTTTAGCTGTTGTTCTCTTATATTAAAAAACTGAGCAGTCTCTAGGCTGTTAGCTGTCAGAGGATTAATGCCTAACTTAGAGGCTGTTCAATGTTACTCTTATGCTGGTGCGCAATTCTTTCGTAACAGTCTGAAACCCATGAATGATACTTGTATATCTCTACACAAAGATTGTATTTTTAGCTTGTCTATTCGAAGAATATGGCNGGGGGGGGGGCTATAGCAGTACCGTCGGCGTCCCACTTGGTTAAAGTTTTTGGGCAAGCTGTGTTTTGGTGTTTAACTCAACTTTTAATTAAATTTACGTTGTAATATGGTTACAGCAATTGCTTGGAGGTTCCTTAGCAACAAATTGGACCATATTTGCTCATTTTTGGTCAAAAACACAAGTCTTTTGGCATTGGTTAAAAGTTTTTGGGCAAGTTCTAGTTCTTTTGAAACTACTGGGCAGATTTCAACCAAATTTATCAGGAAGCATCCTTATGGTAGGGGGATTAAAGATTGTACAAATTAATTCCCTGACCCCCCAGGGGATGTGGGCAGGGCCAAAAGGAGTAAATTTGACAGTATGCCTTTAAACGATAATTCCTCCAATACTATTTGGCAGATTTCAACCAACTTTTACAGGGAGCATCTTTATGGGAAGGGGATTCAAGATTGTTAACATTTGAGACATGGTAGATTTATGTATGGAGAAGTGCACAGCGCACAACACTTTCGGATTATTTACATGACCCCGGGCTGGGGGGTGTCATGGGGATCAAATATTTAAAAAAAAAAGTCTTTTATCATATCAAATAAAACATTATTATGAGTTCTATATTTAACAGTAATTTAGTTTTGCATATGGTAATCGGGCGGCATGTTAGGGGTTACTTTGGAGGGATAGGAGGAGAGTGCCATTGACAATATAGTTCTAGTTTCCTGATCTATTATCTAAGATGTGACATTCCCAATTACTATTAGCACTTTTTACAAAAAATATTTTAATAGACGAGCTATGCTGTTCTCCTACAGCTGTTGTTTTACATGAACATATAATTTGTTGGGAGATTATTTATGATTTATACTTGATGTTTACAGGACACACGTTACCAACTGCTTGTTTTGCGGCCTGGACAGCGTGCATCCTGGATTGGCTATGCCATGTCTTATCATCTCCTGAAGGACTATGATATGGCCTTCAGTATCATTGAGGAGTTCCGCAAGACACAAATGGTACTCCTCCAGATATTGCATTTTGCCAGTGAATTTCAGTATATTTTTTCGTTGTACAAATTTAATAATTTGATGGCATGATGTTTCAGGGCTATTGCCTGAAATCTTATATTGTTTGACTCTGAAAATATGAAGAAGAGAACCTTATAAAAATATCTTGATGTCTAGTAAATTATACAGGAAGTTGAAACAACAATGGTTTTGCTTACTCCAGAACATTTGGAGGTTAAACTCCAACTTCACTCGAAGACCAAGAGATTTAGGGTTTGCAGGCTGGATCATGTAGAAATATTTTGATAAGAGCCAGTATCTTTGCAGAGTTGTATTGACATTTGTTTTATTGTACAACACATGGACTTCTCTTTTCAGCCAAAACCACTGGACTATGAGCACAGTGAACTCCTCATGTATCAGAATCTTGTACTGCGTGAATCGGGACTGAATTCAGAAGCATTTAGCCATTTAGAAAAATATGAAAAACAAATTGTAGACAAGTTAGCTGTTCAAGAAATTAGAGGTAAGAAAAGAAGCATTGCGATTACCGATGGGCGTAAAGAAATGTTGAACAGTTTTGATAATTTTGTATGTTTATATTTCATGATTGTTGATGTTGAAATAAGAGAAGAAAAATAAATAGATAACCACATATGTATTCTGAAAAAAAAACACCCAAGGAAGTTGAAACGACTCATAACTGAAGTGAATGTACCATATGTGGCAATAACGAAATGGTCTGACTCTGTTCTTAGGTGAACTGTACCAGAAGTTGGGCAGGCACGAAGAATCTGCTGAAGTATACAGAGATCTGATCAAGAGAAATCCAGAGAATTGGGGCCATTACAAGATGCATGAAGAGGCTGCGAAACCTAGTACAGTGTTTTTTTGGGTTTTTTTATTATCAGGATTATTTTTGTGCTTTGTTTGCCGCGACAAAAGTAGCAAAAGCGAGGCTATGGTGACTAAGGCGTCAACGTTAGTTTCACTGAAAGTATAAAAGCTTGACCAACCAAACTTGGACCATAGATGCATCTTACGTAGGACATCTTAACCCATGCATCAAATGCTAGATGCGGCCTACATTTCATGGTCCATTGACTTTGTTATTTCGGATATAGCAATCGGAATGGCTTGTTTTTGTAAAGCCTTATCCTCTTGCTATTCAGCAATACAATTAATTTGTTCTAGTTTTTCTACATTAATTATTTAGATAATATAGAGTGCAGTGGGACAGGGATCCTTAAATGGTAGACCATCATCTTGCTGTCAACTGCATATCATATTGTTTGCGGGGGATATTAAATTGGGCTCCGTCCGTCCCTCTGAGCGACCGTGCATAGGTCAGAGCTCTGTAACACTTCAAAATAACTACTCAAAACTTTGTACTGTTATTAAGCTAGTACTCTAGATAGTAGTGCCTTTTGCTATGTAGAAGTTCTCCATTTAAATACTTTTTTCTGTTACCATGGAAACAGATAGGCCAAATTATAAATTTCAGTTGTATGGATCATGCTACCAAAACCATTCAAGATAACTACCTGAAACTTTGTATAACTATCAAGCTAGCATTCTGGTAGTGCCTTTAGCTATGGAGAAGTTCTCATTTTTTTATTTTATTTTTTCAAATTGGTTACCATTGAAACAGATAGGCAAAACTACAAATATTGCTGTTTCCTGAGTAAAATGTCAAAACCTTTTAAGATAACTACATGTACCTGAAACTTTCCACTTATCATCCTATCACTCTAGTTAGGCAAAATTACAAATTTCGCGGTTTCAGAGCATGGCAACAAAATTGTTCAAGAACTGCCTGAAACTTTGTACACTTTGTTCAAGCTAGCACTCTCTTGGTGCATTTTGCTCCTCTAGGAGTTTCAATTGGGATAAAAAAAAATCTCTTTTTCTGTTGCCATGGAAAAAGGCAAAAAAAAAAGCTGAGGTTTCTGAAGCGTGATCTCAAAACTATTAAAAATAACAAATTGAAATTTAACTTGTACACTTATCAACCTAGCACTCTATTGGAGCCGTTTGCATTCAGGATGTATACAGGAAGTTTTTTTCACTTATGAAGCTAGTGCTCTTATCAAGCCTTTTTTGAATGGGAAGTCATCAGTGTTTTGTAAAAGATGATCTACATCAAAATATCAGTAACAGTGGTGGAATGTAGTTAATACCTGTTATTGTAATATTAACATATATACATATATTTATGATTGTGTGTCTTTCTTTTAAACAGCGGGGCGCGGGGATATTGTCTATCTTGTTTAGCAACGGTATAGTTTATGCATTAGTTCAGAGTTTTTTTTGCAAGTTCTGCATCAACCACTGGTATTGAAAGTATGTGTATTTTGTTTAATACAGAAAGTGTAGAAGAACGTCTCCAGTTGTATATGGATATAGAAAAAGATTTTCCACGCGCCTCCGCCCCAAAGAGGCTTCCACTGGCCTTTACCACAGGTAACTGGGTTAATATCTACATGAATCAATAACATTTCAGTTATTGGATATAAAGCTTGCTTGTTTTCCAATTCTGACTATTCACTGTGTATGTAACGATATAATAATGAGACATGATAAAGCAGCAGTATGATTAAGAACCTTCCAATTATTCCAACAGTGTACAAAATTGAAGTGACATTTCACTGTTATCAGTAGAATATTTTGGAATTTGAGTTTTAAAATACTCAACTTCTCGGGAGAAAATTAATTCAGATATGTTCTTATTTGCTTTCTTATCTCTTCCTTTTTTGATTTAAAATATTGTTCTTTATTTTCTTTTTAATTCAGTTAACCATAAATCTTCTCACTGATGTAAGCAAAGTCTGAATAATATTGTGTTTATAGAAAGAATCAGTTTGAAATTGACCGGAGATGATTTTCTTTGCAGGAAACACGTTTATTAGTTTATTGGATACCTATCTGAGAAAAGCTTTCCACAAAGGGGTACCGCCACTGTTTGTCACACTTAAATCTCTATACACAGACCCCAACAAGGTAAGTACAGTGTAAAAGGGCACCAACCCTGTCATATAATGACAATTAAATCTCTGTACACAGACCCCAGCAAGGTAAGTACAGTGTAAAAGGGCACCAACCCTGTCATATAATGACAATTTAATCTCTATACACAGACCCCAGCAGGGTAAGTACAGAATAAAGGGACACCTCTCTTTGTCAAAACTAAATTTCCATACACAGACCCAAGCAGAGTAGGTACAGTAAGACCTTTAAGATATTTTAGATATAGGCATTGTTACCTCAACATTGTTTAACATCCACTTTATTGAGAATTATTCCTTTTAAAATTAGACATGTCCAGACTGTTTTGTCCCAGTTGTAACCTATTGGCCTACTTGATGAATAGTTAAAGATTATGATGTCTTCTCATTCACTGATTGAGGTCTGTTGACATTGTGTAGCAGGGAGTTATTGTCTGGACATGGGAAGGGAGGGGCTGATGTCTGAACATTGTTAAGGGGGAGGTAGTTGACATGTGTGACAGAGAGAAGCTAGTTAACACATGGACATTGGGGGGGTGGGTGGGAATGATTTGAAATTCGGACATTAGCAAGGACTGATAATATAAAAGTTGTTTCTTCATCGACATCTGTAGACTTTGTGGAGGTTAATTGATGCGTGACTTGGTAATGTTGTCCCTGACATTTCTGGCTTATTGTTAATTAAATCCTGTTTGTTTTTTACAGGTGAAAGTGGTTGAGGAAATAGTATTGGGTTACATGGAGAGCCTAAAGAAGGTGGAAAAGTTTGATGAAACTGGTAGGTTAGAAAGACCAGAGGTCTCCTCTGGATAGTTGATGCCGACAAAAGAATTTTCTTCAGACTTCTTGTAAATTTCTGTTTTTAGATTGGTTTGGTTGCTTTTTTTTGTAAACCTTCTTACATCAGCACACCCGAGCATCCACCAATCTTCAAAAGTCTTAAAAAAATACTTACATCATGATTATAACAGACAGTGATTTTATATTTAGCTGTTATCATAATTTGGAGCTTTAGAATATGTGAAAAGAGCTAAAATAAGTACATTTATATTGTTTTGAATAAAAATGTTCTCAAAGGATGGAGATCTAAACCACTTGACTGCATATCTTGGTATGGAAACAAAATTTGCAGCAATGCTCCATGTTATCTTTCAAAAACGAAATGCAAAATATCTCAGAAATTGTATGTAAGAGCTGAACATTAGCTTTGATTCAGAAAAGAGATTGAATTTTGACTTTGTTGCAGATGAGGGTGAGTTGGAGCCACCCACTTCTTTGGTGTGGGTTTACTACTTCCTTGCCTCACATTTTGACCATCAGGGCAACACAACGCGGGCGATGGAAATTATCAACACAGCCCTAGAACACACGCCACTACTCATAGAGCTATACGCTCTGAAGGCAAAGATACATAAGGTAGTACACGTCAAATTTACTAAAATGATGTAATTCCTAAATATCATTATTTAATATGGATGGTGTCCCAGTAATAACTTTGTAACAAGTCACTGTCAGCTGTTTAGTGATTATTAGCTCACCTGGTCCAAAGGACCAAGGTGAGCTTATGCCATACCGTGGCGTCCGTCGTCCATCCGTCGTCCATCCGTCGTCCGTCCGTCCGTCAACAATTTCTTTAAACGACTTCTTCTTAACCACTGGTTGGAATTAAACCAAATTTGACTGGAAGCATCCATAGGTGGTGGGGATTCAAAATTGTACAAATGGTGGGGCTGACCCCCCAGGGGGCTGAGGGGCGGGGCCAAAAGGGGTCAATTTGCCCATATTGCTTTAAGCGACTTCTTCTCTGAAACTAAAAAGTGGATATCAACCATATTTGACAGGAAGCATCCCTAGGTGATGGGGATTCAAAATTGTACAAATGGTGGGGCTGACTCCCCAGGGGGCTAAGGGGCGGGGCCAAAAGGGGGCAATTTGGCTATATTGCTACAAACGACTTCTTCTGTAGAACTGTGCACTGGATATCAATCATATTTGATCAAAAGCATTCCTGGGAGGCAGGGATTTAAAATTGTACAAATGGTGTGGCTGACCCCCCAGGGGGCTGAGGGGCAGGGCCAAAAAGGGTATTTGGCTATACTGCTTTAAGCGACTTCTTCTCTGGAACTAAGAAGTGGATATCAACCATATTTGACTGGAAGCATCCCTAGGTGATGGTGATTAAAAATTGTACAAATGGTGGGGCTGACTCCCCAGGGGGCTAAGGGGCGGGGCCAAAAGGGGGCAATTTGGCTATATTGCTACAAACGACTTCTTCTGTAGAACTGTGCACTGGATATCAATCATATTTAATCAAAAGCATTCCTGGGAGGCAGGGATTTAAAATTGTACAAATGGTGTGGCTGACCCCCCGGGGGTTGAGGGGCAGGGCCATAAAGGGTATTTGGCTATACTGCTTTAAGTGTCTTCTTCCCTGGAACTAAGTGATGGATATCAACCTTATTTGACTGGAAGCATCTCTAGGTGGTGGAGATCGTACAAACGGTTGGGCTGACCCCCCAGAGGGCTGAGGGGCGGGGCCAAAATTGTTGGGCATAAAGAGACGAATGCAGTCATGATATTAGAATTGATCCCATGGCCTGCCCCACCCTTGCAGACTTGGCCCCTGGGTCATACCTTTGAAACGGTTGAGATCCCCACCCCAAATCTATATATACAAATGCTTGGCAAAAAGAGACAAATGCAGTCACGATATTAGAATCGATCCTAAGGTCTGGCCACAACTCTAGGGACCTAGTTTCTGAGTCAAAGCTTGGAAACAGTTGAGATCCCAACCCCATAACCATACATAAAATTGCTGGGCATGAAAAATCTTATATAGCTATGCTACAAGGATTGGCCTTGGGGTCTGGCATATTCCCTTGATCTCATTTGGAGAATAGTTTGCCATGATTGCTTAGGTATCCAGGTGAGCGATACAGGCCCTCTGGGCCTCTTGTTGTATTAAGGACCAGTGGGATTAGGGTTAAGAGAGATGTTTCATTCATTATACATGTATATACAGATGTAGTGACATTAGTTTAACTTTCTTTTATTCAAGTATTTCAATTATATACATATATATATGCAATATATATATATATTATATATATATATATATAACATTTTGTAACAAAACACAAAATAGGAAATAGAAACATTGATGGACTAGTTTTAATTGTCCTGTTTGTTGCAGCATGCGGGTGATATAGAGGAAGCAATGCGATTGATGGACGAGGCCCAATCCCTGGACACTGCCGACCGTTACATCAACTCCAAGTGTGCCAAGTACATGCTCAAGGCTAACCTCATCACTGAGGCCGCTGATATGTGCTCCAAATTCACACGTGTAAGTCTACTTTATGGTGGCTTCTCTGATGGGGAAGCTCTTGTATAATGTCGACTGCTATCTGTAAAATAGTGCATTTGAGGTACGTGATCAGGGTCACAGTGCTATGAATAGAATGTCAATTTATCTGTTCTTAACTAATCTCACCTAGCCCAACACCCTTAATCATTCATTGTTGAGTCATATGAAGCAAGTGTTTGAATAACAGTAGGATAAATGTCAAGGTTATAGTTATAATCTTGAGAGGGTTTATAAATTTTAGATTAAAGATATATACTGGATATTGTGAAACGTTGTTTGTAGATTAACATTTGTTTACAATTACAGTGGAAACCTCATTTTTATAACAGCAGGGAATTATTGTTGTGTTCAAATATGAAGGCTAATGAATGCATGTAAATAGATGCCCATGATAAAGTCGCATACAAATGGTTTTTTGATTATATACGTAATACAAAGCTTGAACATGATCAGCATTCTGAGCTTGTTCTAATATGTCTGAATCGATTGTAGATCGAATAACGTGTTACATATGAATGTTTTTTTGTAACAGGAGGGTGTGTCTGCTATGGACAACTTGAACGAGATGCAGTGCATGTGGTTCCAGACAGAATGTGCGGCCACACACCAACGCACAGGCAAGTGGGGAGAGTCTCTAAAGAAGTGTCATGAAATTGACAGGGTAAGTTTGTGAACAAGTTTCTAGTAATACTTGATAATTGGTCTTCCTATTGATATTTTAGATGAGCTTGAGACAATTAAGATGAACTAAGCACATTTTACACTCCTCCAAACACTCTTCCAATACCCAGTGGTGTTGTTGATGTTTGCTTGTTTCATGTTTCTGATATTGTCAACTGTGTTGATACTAACTCATCAAATATGTAGCTGTTTACTCATCACATGCTGTTGATTGTTGTCCAATATTTTGTCGATGTTAACTCCTCAAACATGCTGGTTGACTCGTGTTTTTCAGCACTTCACAGAGATAATTGAGGACCAGTTTGACTTCCATACATATTGCATGAGAAAGATGACGTTACGAGCCTACATAGGATTGCTGCGCCTTGAGGATGTGCTTCGCAATCATCCTTTCTACTACAAAGCAGCAAAAATAGCAATAGAGGTGAGAGGGCTCTTCAGATCAATTGTGTCATCTAGTACAGCCGCTGTTTCTTTCAAGTTTGACCAGCCAATTAGTGTTTATGTCACTAAAGAAGGGAACATGTAGATTTTTATCATCAGCTTGTCTTAAAAACTTTACTAAATGTCTGATAGTATAATCTTAGGTAACATGTTTTAATAGCATTGTTCTGAGGCTGAATTGCATATGTATCATTTGTTTGAATCTACGAAGTAGGGGATTGGCACATTATTCCCCGGACATTGCAGTGACAGTACAACTTTTAATACATCGAGATGGAATTCAGAAGTATATTAAAAATGTAATTAGATTATCCTGTGTATACATATATGTTATATTCTCTGTGTTAGATTTATGTTATTTTATTTCATAAGAAGCATGATATTACTGTTGGAATCTACATTGCACTAGGTGTTATCACAACATGTTAGTTAACTTTATCGGTACTTTTGTGTGGTGTGAGTTCAGCACATCTCAATAGAAGATAATGGTCTTCCTAAACTCTTTTCCACTCCAAGTCCACAACCTTGTTAGATTGAACAGCACCAATGATACATCCCTTGAATAAGTTTTAAATGTCTCATGTCGGGTGTTACTGGAATAAGCTTTAATATATGAATGTTTTGTTCCCTGCAGATATATCTTCACTTGAATGATCACCCGCTGGCTGAGAACGAAACAGACAATTCCTTAGACACGGGTAAAAAGCTATGTGGATAGAAAATATGCACAATTTCTGTGGAGATAATGTTTTAGTTTGCTGTTAATATTTTAATGCAGGCATATTAAAAACAATCTGTTGAAAAATATCTGAATTTTGATTCTCATAAAATCATAAAATTGAGATATTTATTATTGTGATTGTTAAGATTATAGGTTCAACTCGGTATTTAATGCTTAAATTATTAACATTTCTGAAATGTCTTCCCATTAACAAAGAGTTAGAACTTATTTCGGTGAGATTACATATTTGATATTCACTTCAATGACAATTGTTACTTTATCTTTTTATCATTGAATTTATTTGTTTCCTCTCAAAACAGAAAATCTTACACCAAGTGAATTGAAAAAATTACGAAATAAGCAGCGAAAAGCTGCAAAAAAGGCCCAACAGGCCAAGGAAAAACAGAAAGCAGAACAGGACAAAAAAGAGCAACAGAGCAAAAAGCAGCAGGATGGCGAGATGGATGGGCCTAAGGAGGAAGAATTGATCCCTGACAAACTGGCCAGGGTAGGTCGGAGGTTGATGATTTATGGTCGAATGTTAACAATATTGATATAAAACAAAAATCCCCTTAAATGCCTCAAAATTAATTGAGTGTTCAAGTTAACATGGAGTTTATGACCCAACTTTTAGCATTCTGTATTTGAGGCCAACACTGCAGTTGAAATGGGGTTGTTGAACAAGTTCAGGACCTTCCATTGTTCTATCAGAAAATTTCAAAAACTTTAACTAAATTTTCTGAAATAAAGTTAACAAGACCTGACTATTTAATCCATTTTTGTTTGAATTTCAGACTGAAGAACCACTGGAACAGGCCATCCGCTTCCTAAAGCCGCTACAGATGTTAGCAAAGGACAAAATACAAACCCATATATTTGCTTTTGAAATTTATAGTAGAAAGGGTAAGTATCATTATTATCCTTTCGTATAATCAAACAAGTAGAGTATAACTTTATATCTGTACTCGCAGGAACGTGGCAGTAGATATCTTGCCTGACCTTTCTGGTGATGAAATGATTGTGCCGTGAACTAATGGAGATTACTGTTCAAAGAAACGATTTTAGTAACTAGTATACAGAAATGAAAAGAATGTTGTCTTGGTATAAAATAAACAAAAATACATGTTATGTAATTAACAGTTATAGAACATCCCGAGTCCAACTGACATGCATTCAAAAATCAACAGTTACCTGTACAAATATTCCTTGTTCAACTGACGTATAAACAAAGATCAGTTGTTAAATGTACTGATATAATTTTTTTAAGTCACAATAAAAAGAAAATCAAATGTTAAGGATGAAGCTGCTAATTGGTCATTGTTTTTTATTTTCAGGTAAACACCTGTTAATGTTACAATCACTAAAACGAGGCCGCCGTATCGACTCTGACGACCCTCAGTTACATATTTGTTTACTGAGGTTTTTACAAAAAGGTGAGGAATGTTTTCTTTCCACAGACGTGCATTGGTATAGTGAAATGTTTATGTACAACCTGCAATGCTCAGTGGACTCTGTGATCCTGCTGGAATATCAAGACATTTTGTTTAGAAAAATAACTTTAGAGCAATAACATTAATTCATTCAGTCTCACAACTCAACCACATTAAGTTTCAAACAGAGTTCTGTCCCTTATAACACTATTTGGGTGTGATGGGAATTCAAAATTGTACAATTTCTTCTCTGGAACTATGAACTGGATATCAACTATATTATGAATTTTGGTTGAAGAAACAAAACATATCAATGCATTTGCTGACCTAGGGGCCCCCTAGGCCAAGGGTGGGGTCAAAAAGGTCATTAAGTTGGAAATTGTTGAGATCCAAACACAATCTCTGGGCATAGGAGACAATAAACAAAGTCTTACCAGGATTGGCTTTTGAGTCTGCCCCTCCCTTTGGGATAAAGTCCCTAGATCATAACTTCGATATGGCCAAGATCCACGCCCTGTAACCATATTTACAAATTTCTGGGCATGAAAAGAAATACAGATATGCTGGCAGGATTTGAGATCCCTATCCAATAACCATATGTGCAATAGCTAGGCATGAAGAATCAAACACAATCATGCTATAAGAATTAAGAAAACACTAATAAATACAGATATGCCATAGCAATTGGCCACACAGCCTGCCCCCACCCATAGGGACTTTGCCCCTGGGTCATAATTGTCCCAGGTCATATCATGGAAACAGTTGGAATCCCCACCCCTCAGCAATAATAACAATTGCTGCACATAAAGATTCAGATACTGGTAGGTTTGGTAAAGGAGTTCAGCCTCACCCCTGGAGACTGATGTGCAATGTTACTTTAAATAAGAATATTTGCCTTTATCGCTTATAATAATAATAATAATATACAACATTTGATATAGCGCCCTATCTAGCTAATATAAGCCACTCTAAAGCGCTTTACAGTACATAGATATACAATTTCATACAGTCAATACAATTAGCATATATATATTAATCAATACAATATTGAGGAATCCGCAGGAGCTGCCTTATCAGGCGCTAACTACTAGTCCTATGCCACCTGGCTAATATCTGCCTATGTGTGTATGCCTGTGTGTGTGCTGGAGATGTATTGTGTTCTGTTTGTAGTGGGACCGTGCTTCCAATGGTATCATTTGTAGTGCCACCTCACTTAAATGCTACAGCACAGATACAGCAACACCCACCCCAGACTATTTTATACTCCACCTGGTTTGTTGGAGTTGTGTGGGCAGGAGAAAAACACTTTCTCTAATATTCCATGCGTACGGCGACTTCAGGGATCAAACCCCGGGCGCCTGCTTGGAAGGCCAGAGCTTATGTGCAACACAGGCCCTCTGCACATCTTGTTTTGGAACTCTTATTGTAAAATTATCTTGTGTTACACGAAACTCTGAACTTCTTTCATCCCTTGGATTCATAAAAGTTATCGTATAAAATTTCAAGTCGGAACCATGATGTAAGGAGATGATTGAAACAGTGCAGTTATAGTTGATGTCTTGGATGTTTCAGTGACTAAGAAGGGAGCAATACCAGATGCTGTCAAAAAGGTGTTAGAAATGGAAACGTTACCACTTCATCAAGGAAAAGATGTAAAAACACTCAACATAGAGTACATCTCACGGAATAGCAGCTCGCTATTACACAGATTAGCAGGTAAAAATCCTATGACTCGTCTATAACCAAGAGTTGTCTGCCCTTACACTGGTATGACCAACATCACAGTGGCATATATATGCTGTCTTCCATATAATAACTAGACTCCATGGAAAGTGAAATGTTTAATGAAATTTTGTTGAATGATCAGCCAAGTTTTTCGCTGTGTAAAAAAAAAATAAGATAAACAAACCAGAATATTGCAAGTGTGACAATATAAATTCAGGTATATAGTTCATACACAGAATTTATTATTTATAGTCATTGAAATTTAAAGCAACCTTTAATACAATGATTCTAAACTTGATGATTCATATTCGATTAGTAAATTGGCAATAAAATCTCCCGAGTATAACAGCTATATCTATTGTTTTGTGATTAGTTTTGTGAACTTAAATGCTGAACTTTTCTGTCAACAGGTGCTAGGATGATGTATGAATTAGATTCCTCAGAAATAGTACAGAAAAAAGCATTAGAAATGGCCATAAGTCTTTCTGAGGATTTAAAAGGAATCAGTATAAAGGTAAGCATTGTATTGATGATATATTGCAAATTAATTATAATAACATACAGATATGGACGGAATCCCTATGTACATGATCAGTAGGTGTTATTCAGTCAAATATATAATTATATCTTCTGAAAATGTTTTGTATTCTACAAAATATTAATTGTTGATTATATTACTGCTGGTAAGCTTATGCTGAGTAAAGAGTTGAAACTTACTCTGTCAGATTTTTATGAACTAAGCAAAAAATAGAAAAAGTTTTGAAATTAAAAAAAAAAAATTGATCAGAATGACAAGTGAAAGTTGTTTGATGTATTTGAGTGTTTACCTCCACAGAATTGTATAGAAGTGTTGGAAGCAATGTGCCGAGGAGACTTTGGTGAGTGTGAGAGCGTTGCACAAGACTATCAGGCGCGGTGCCACAGCCTTTTCCCGCTCTCTCCTTCCTTTATTATTCCCGCCAGCAGTCAACCAGACCAGATTGTTGCCAATGGAGCCGCCTCCTAGAAAAGAGTTTTATCAAGGGGAATAATCCGCCTCATTTGTGCTGAATTAGGACAGCTTTCTTATAACAGAAAACTCCCAAATCATAGCAGGTAATTACTCTACAGGCATTTCACTTGAGTTAGGAGGACACATGATCAACACCACTATGTTTACCTTGTGATCAAACCATGGAAGTGGCCGCCCAGAACAGTGATGGCATTGAATCACATTACATTGTGGCACCGTTTGTTAGAAATGTGTCAACATCTACGATGACAGTGTCACAGAAAAATCCACAGGCATGCCACAAAGATACCTTGTGACCACTGTGCACATTTCTGTAGGGAACACTGTAGCTGCTTGTGTGTGGACACTGGTGTGATTGGGTGATGTTTGACAATAGCGTATGTGGATGAAAGTGTCGCCATACACAACGTCCAGGCTTCCAGGCTCAATGAACAAAGGCAGGATTAGCCAACAGTAAATGGCAAAAAACAGTTAACCATTTTCAAGTGTTATTTTTGTGCAAACCTTTTTTCCCCACACTAATGACTTCCCACTAAATTATTTGCTCAAGTGCGATCAGGGAAGATGCTGCATATTGCGTGCTGTGACTGTCACTCACTGGATCTGGGGACCATGCTCACTCGTCCAAACTGAGCACTAACATTAGGAGTGATGGCCTGAACCAGCACACACTCGTAAGCAAGAACTGAGCCAATCAGAACACACCTGTTAGCTTGCCACAGAAATTCCTCACCACATCAGCCACGTTGTTGATTTCCAAGGATAGACAAATCTTTTTTTTAAGTTATTTTATAGAAACTAGTATTATCCATGTGTTCGTTTTGCTACATTATATTAACAGTTGTCTGTGTGACTCGAAAACCTGACTGTGAAACTTTTTTAATGAACTTGACAGATATTTATGCTGTGGAGGTAATTATGATGATACAGAGTATCACTGTGATTGTCCAGCGTTTGTCTCATCCTGGCATCGGTCACTATGCTGAGTGTCCCATGTTGTAAGAATGTTTTTAGCTCACCTGGTCCGAAGGACCATGTTGAGCTTATGCCAAACTGCAGCGTCCGTCCGTCAACTTTTCCTTTAAAACGCTACTTGTCCTGAGCGGCCAAGTAGATTTTGACTACATTTGGTCTCGAGCATCCTTAGGCCTAGGGAACTTAATTTTGTATAAATGGTGGGTGTGGCCCCTCTGGGGGCAGAAGGGCGGCCCCAAATAGGGGAAATAGAGGTAAAACCTTTAAAAACCTTCTTTTACCATAGGGATAAAGGGATTTTATCATAATTTAGTCTGGAGCATCCTTTGGCCAAGGGGATATAGCATAAACATAGCAAATTCTTCAAAATCCTCCTTTTCCTGTAGAAATGACCGGATTTTGTCCAATTGCATATAAATATAACCCCTTACTAACCATGTAATACATGTTCACTACCGGCAACATCTCGCTATTCCAACTTCAATTTTGCTAACATTTCCAGGTGAGCGATACAGGCCCTTTGGGAGTCTTGTTTATTGAGTGTGATGATGAACAAAAGTGTGGCCTGAGTTGAAAGTGTTGGTACCACCACCTCTACATTAGTGTGCCATGTGATCATGTCAATGATATCACTGGTGTAGGGCTGTGATACTGATGGTACGCTTGTTATTTAGCCATCAACCGATTACTGACATATATATACTTTGGTCACTTACGTTGCCAAATCTCCATGTCATCGCTTTCAAATCATTTATCAAACAATTATGACTTTAATAGGAGAAGTGCATGCCAATATTTACCTGAAAATATCATGCTGCTCTTGCATGCAAAATATGGTCATTTGGGAAATTTCTTACTGCTTCAAGGGGTTTTTCCATTTTTTATTCTGACGAGGTAACTAGTTCTGATGTCTTCATACTTACATATCCATGAAAGCAGATTAAAATTAATTTCTGTCAAGATAAAACCAGTCTGCTTGCAGACAAAAATTATAGTACAGTACATTGTTGATTGGATTATAGTTTGTCAAGTGAAAGTATTGTGGAAAATTGTCCAGACATCTATACTTATTGTAGACATACAACAAGATAGGCATAAAACAAATGTCTGGCACAACAGGGTGATATATAATATGGAAATCAAATAAAACTGTTTAGTTGACAATGAAAACTCAAGGTGTTTTTTTTAAGTTATTAATTTCTCAAACATTGAAGTGTTCTCCGCTGTAAGAGGCCCGACACAAGTTGGTTTAATGTTGAAAAATGAGTTAAGTGGTGTAGCTTCTGCCAACTGGAGTTTGGTACAAGTCTTTCTAAATCATCAGACATCAGTCCTGATTATGAACAGACCACCGATAACTTGACCTATCTATAAAGACCATCACTAATTCAAAAACAAAATAAAAATTACTTGATTTATTCAACAGTAAATTGTGTGATAAATATTTTCATTTTGGGGATTGATCACGGATTCAAAAAAATTGCAATATTTATTCAAACACACTTAAGGTAGAGAGTTCCATCACTTCTCTGTGCTAAAGTTATTTTCCTAGTAAATTAATGTTATTTCCTCTATATTCTTTCAAAACAAGTTATAGATTTATAGGGAGCTAGAACAGTCTAAAATGTTGCTGAAATGTAAAAACATAAAGTATATCATAACTGATAACGCAGTGGAAAAGATTAATCTGCTTTAGAAATAAAAGAAATGTTTTTGGGGGAAGAAAGAAAAATATTTTTTTGGTACATAACCCTTTATATCAATTCAAGCAACTCAAAGTTAGAAAATGCAGATCATTGGAGATATAACAACAGTACTAAGATTCTCTAAGCAACGGCTATCTACCTGTTCACTAAGAAGTTATATGAAGTACAAATACGATAAATTAGAAGTGAATTACAGTATAGTAAAAGTTGTTGTATTCCAAACGGTTTGACCAGTTAGACCAGATTTATACGTTTATGAAACAGGAAAGGGCCTATTGGTCTAATGTTTTGTATGCGAGCCTTAAAAAACTTACAAGGCCACATCAGTAAACAGGCTTCACTCCAGAAAAATCTGCTTTTGGAAACAGATGAAGGTGTCTTTTCCCGTACATAAAAAACACCCAAGGTGGTTATTGTAGACTGGTGTTATACCGACGGTAATCATCAACAGGTGTTTTTATTATATATGCAAGTGTTCATTTTCAATATGTCTGACTTTACATAATGTTGATGTTATATAAAATCTCAAGCAGCCTTAAAACATATTTTTTCTGTCAGTGATATGTTGATGAGACTTAAATCAGTACTGTATTTACAATCTGCTGTCCATGGTAACCGAAGACTGGTGTGTGACCAGCAACAACCTCTGATGCAGTCTCCATGGTAACTAACAAACCAGTGTAGGTGATTACACAAGTATGTAGTCCAAGTGCTAATGAAATAAGGATTTATTTGACTATAAAATTAGTACTTCACTGATCTTCTATTCCGTCTTTGCGTATTGCAGTTATCTTCTCTTGTGAGCAGGTATTGATTGTTACGTCATTGGTTTGTGTGAGAAAATTACGTTGTTTTCTCAAAAATTGATGATACAATCAGTACCTGCTCACAAGTCCAGATAACTCTGCAATACGAAAAGACGGAATAGACTGATAGTCATTTGTCGGAAAATAACACAAAACACATTTGATCTAGCATACCACCATTAAGATTGTTGCCGATGACAGTATTTTACCATAGTGATATATGACTGGAACCAAGGGTGATAGTAAAACTACTGTTGATATAAGAAGTTGTATTTGGGTGAATATTTTGCTATGGCAACTACAATTTGCAATGCAGTTGCCATGAAGGCCCGATAAAGTGGTGTGGTTGCTATGGTGATGTATGGGTATGCAAGAGAGATTATACGGATGAATTTATCCTGGGATAGTTACATGAAATAAAACACACTTTCTATCTACAAACCTATATGTTGTTGACTTTCATTTTTACAATTCTGTAGTTGTGATCAAACCTAATAGATTTGAATCACTCTGTAATCTGTATCTTAATTCTAATTTCTTTCAAATATAACAAAGCCATTTGAATTCATTGTTATGACTCGACCGTCCTAATTTCTACAGAAGTCGAACATGAGAATACCTCAAATGAGTTTGTATTCAGGGTCCCAACGTCATTGTTTCTAATAACAGGTCAACCTACACTGGGCCTTGTGGGGACATTCATTTTTGAACCGATGTCTGGTTTTGCCAATGACATCTCAACCACCTAACTTTTGCTACTTAGCCTTGTAAGATTAAAACAACACTCTTCAAAAGATATTGTATCAACTTTTACTCCACCATCTGATGAATGTTGGCTATTTAAATAGCCTTTCGTCTGTTCCATTGTCAATCCTTCATCTTTTCTAGTCATTGTTATTTCTTTGAAAGTTATTTCCTTAAGATGTACCAGATGGATCTTTTTCAGACTATATATAAAGATTCTCATTGGTTCTTAGATGTGCATGCTTACGATTTTGAGACGGATCAGAAGAACAAGGTGGCTGCCTGAAGGCCATGATATATTATAACATTTGAAAGTTTGTTGTCACTATTTCTCAGGATTTATTGGAGGAAGCTTAATTTCTCCTTACTTTGGCTCCTTTCCTTTCTTGATTGGTAATGTTTCATAGTTAGCTTGATCGAAAAAAAGAAAATGGCCACCAGACAGATATGTCTTGAATTTAACCATTGAGTTTGTTCATCACAATTTCTCATCCAATACCAATCCTTCTCAAAATTCACAAGTATATTCCACCTGTTCCCTTGTTTAACATACTTCATTTTAATCTTGAAGCTGCTTCATCAGAAGAGGAAATTGGCTGCCAGAAACAGAAATCTCTCGCTGTATTATTCTAGTTAATAGGCCACTATGAAAGGAAGATGTCAACCACAGCAGTATAAAGGTTTGATCAAAATTTACCATGTGATGTGATGACTTGGCATGATATCAATCAACCAGATAACAGGAAATGAACTTGGAAAGAGTGGACCATCCAAAAGACCGAGCCTTTCTTACCTTGTGTTTTTCTGGAGAGTATATGAATTCCAAAGGCGTATATGGACCAACATTGATGATCGGATGATTATAGATGAATTTATTCATGGGTGTGTTAACATCAAAAGTGACATCAGTTCTGATGGCTCATCAATTTATCCATAATTATCTAATCATCCATGCTAGTCCATACTTCTTAGGATTTAATTTACTCATATACTACAAGTATCCATGGCAGTAATCATCTGAATTGCACATGACTTTCTACTTACTAGGAATGTTGTGTGTCTCCAACCCCCTAGAGTGAGATCACAGAAAAGACCAAACTTAACATAATAAAGTGAAGATCATATAATGGTGTACAACCAGATCCATAAGGGATCTCTTGTTTATTATTATCCTGGATACTTTGACATATTAACTAGTACAAATACAAAATCAGCATTATTATAACAATTAAAAATAAACAATGCCTGAATTATAACTATTGTTACAACAACAAAAAGATATGGCAAGGATTTCTTGATCCCATGTAAGCACCAATACATCTCAAACGGAAAAAGGGCAACAATACTGATAGAACATGTATGTGAACTTACCAACATTAACTAGGCTATTACCTTTGTCACTTAAAAAAATATTTGTCTCATGTCCTTTTCAAAATAAGTATTCCATAAAATTACATGCAATATATTTTACATATTTGAAAGTAGAAATGATTAAGAAACTTTAGGACCTTTCCATTGCAAAGCCTATGCTTTGCTAATGTCGCTGTCCAGGAATTAAAATGGCTTTTAAGCATCAAACTGAGTGTCCGATTTAAGGGCCGCAAAAGTAAGAAGAAAACAACGGACATAGGAAGTTACATAACTTGACCAGGGAAGTTCAAGGAACTCCCTTTTTGTTGCATCATCATAGTTTGACCCTTTCACCACTGTAGACCACAATGGACTCATCCAGATAAATGGATGGTAGAGTCTACTAAAGTTACCTAGGGGTGAAAGGGTTAGAAATATCTTGAGTGGAAGTTTTCTTTGCAATTCTAACTGATTTAGAGGTATCCTTTACCTTAGACTATGTTTAGAGGTACACCACATTTTGCCTCCATCAATGGGAGTTACATCTGCCTCTAATAGTACCCTGGGATATCAACACTATTTCTCGGGGCCAACCAGGGGTTTTATTTAAAGATTATTGTAACTGATTTTGTTTGAAATTCAATCTGACACTAAAATGATAGACAATCCAATCATTCAAAAAGTTGTTAATGGGAATTGTAATCTGAGTAAACCGTAGCTTTTCTAAGTGACCATCTATAAAAGTTCAACATCAAGCTGGTTCAAACATCAGCTTCTTTTTTCTGAACACAGTCGTGATTAATATATGTATAAAAATGTAAACTATATATATAATAAAAAGAACATAATGTATATTGAATATCAAAATTATCTAAATATATATAACAAATAACAATAGGTTATGTAAGTGTTCTGTGTCTCGATAACATATAACAATATATACATATATATATTCATCTGCTTAAAACAACATACCGTGTATAAGTTTTGTAAGGTATAATAACTCGACAGAGTCATTCACAAAGTAGAAGGAATACACTTTCAAAATAAGGTCACAAAGGACAACCAGTACTTGTATACCTTTAAAGAAGACAGCCAATTTTAAATCAATTCAGTTTCACAGAGTTTGTTTGATGGAAGCTGAGCCAAGTATGATTCAAACTCAGGTAGGTGGTGATGAATTCTGGGAATTCTCTCTTTGTGACGATTTCTAGGAACATCTGTGCTGCTGTCTGAAGTCTGCTGTAGTCGGCCTGGGATAGCTTGCCCCTGGCTCTCATCCCCGACAGCTCATCTCTGACAACTCCACCTGCGACAGACTGTACCATCACCAAGGTGATCACCTTGCCATCTTCTTCCAAAGTTGCCTGGTGACGGATACACTGCCAGACCTTGGAACAAACAAACATGTTCAGGACTAGGGTTACACAGTTGCCTCAGCAGTAATGCAAACAAGTACCAAGATTTTAAAGTAGTTTATATGTAGCAAGATTTAAAAGACACAAAATGTAAGAACCGTTCATGCTAATCTGTTATTAATGTACTGACATTGAGGCTTAAAAAGCTTTGGTACCTGTGACCTTGATATTTCTGCTGTGGCTGAGTCCTCTATTGCTCCCTTCAGCCTGAAGTGACCTTGACCTGTATCAACATGATGTAGAATATCATAGTACTATGAAAAGTATCAAATTGTTAAGTACTGTGGAAAATTATATAACCACACTAAATCCGTAGAACCATTGGGATAAACATTCAAGCAGGAAAGAAGGGACATGTACCCTCTAAACCTTCTATAACTTTGCCTCCAACTAATACACAATGTAATCAAATCAGGATTGAAAATAAACTACAGATGTGCAATTATTTTAAGATCCTCTTAAGCAGGAGTGAAACCTAGCAGCTTAGTAAGATTTATGTGTACATGTACAACTCCGATCAAAGGGGCTGAATCTCCACTGTGACTTAGAAGCACAGTGAAATACATTTATTCATTTCCTATTAAACTCTTTAGAACTCGGCTCAGACCAAAGTACATAGAATCATACCCAGTCATACACTATACTAGATTATAGTCAAGAATTTAACAGAAATGATCTATCTGCCTTTATAAGCTAGTCGTACCTTTCAGCCAGCTGTCAATGAAGAGTATCCCAACAGTAATGTTGTGCTTCAGTCCACTGCGTGTGACTCCACCCTGAAGAAAGAACAAACAGGTCCAGGTCTTTTTGTCTAAGATGCCAATTATCTCTACATGACTGTTCAAAAATAACTGCTATCTGAATATGATAACTGATCCCCTGCCTTGCATTTGGTAATTTACTGTCTAGATACGATTACTGATACCCCACCTTCTGATCACTGATCCCCCACCTTCTACTCAGTGACTTACTGTCTGGATATGATTACTGATCCCCCTCCTTCTACTCATTGACTTACTGTTTGGATATGATAACTGATCCCCCGCCTTGCATTTGGTAATTTACTGTCTAGATATGATTACTGATACCCCGCCTTCTGATTACTGATCCCCCACCTTCCACTCAGTGACTTACGGTCTGGATATGATTACTGATCCCCCGCCTTGCATTTGGTAATTTACTGTCTAGATATGATTACTGATACCCCACCTTCTGATTACTGATCCCCCACCTTCTACTCATTGACTTACTGTCTGGATATGATAACTGATCCCCTGCCTTGCATTTGGTAAGTTACTGTCTGGATACGATTACTGATCCCCCACCTTCCAATCAGTGAGTTACAGTCTGGATATGATAACTTATCCCCCCTTCCACTCCCGTGTCTTACTGTATACGGAATATGATCTTTATACAGACTGGATATGATAATTAATCCCCCACCTTCTGTTCAGTGACTTACAGACTGGATATGATCATTAATCACCCACCTTCTGTTCAGTGACTTACAGACTGGATATGATCATTAATCACCCACCTTCTGTTCAGTGACTTACAGACTGGATATGATCATTAATCACCCACCTTCTGTTCAGTGACTTACAGACTGGATATGATCATTAATCACCCACCTTCTGTTCAGTGACTTACAGACTGGATATGATCATTAATCACCCACCTTCTGTTCAGTGACTTACAGACTGGATATGATCATTAATCCCCCACCTTCTGTTCAGTGACTTACAGACTGGATATGATCATTAATCCCCCACCTAATGTTCAGTGACTTACAGACTGGATATGATCATTAATTCCCCACCTAATGTTCAGTGACTTACAGACTGGATATGATCAATAATCCCCCACCTTCTGTTCAGTGACTTACAGACTGGATATGATAAGTAATCCCCCACCTTCTGTTAAGTGACTTACAGACTGGATATGATCATTAATTCCCCACCTAATGTTCAGTGACTTACAGATTTGATATGATCATTAATCCCCCACCTAATGTTCAGTGACTTACAGACTGGATATGATCATTAATTCCCCACCTGATGTTCAGTGACTTACAGTGGGCATGAGGAGGAGATCTGTCGCTGTGATGGCCACCTCACCTCTCAACACATGATACTGATTCTCTCCAGGTGTTAGCTCCTTAAAAAGCTGCAAATATAACATAGGAATCCAAGCATACTCCTCCAAATACATTGATAGTACAGTAGCTGTGCCAATGTGACATCACAGGGGACTGAATATATGGCTAGGTATAACAGCATAAACCTTGCACAGACTTAAATCTCCACAAACCCCATATTTGGGGCCTTAAATCAGGTTTTACTGTACAGAGCTTTAAATCCTAGTTTTTTGAACTAGTATCCCACTATTTTGCAGCATCTTATTTACTTATTACTTACTACCACTTTGGAATAAAATACCTGGCCCAAGTTTTATTAAGATCAAGTTAGAGAAAATTACCTCTGCTGATGATGATTCCCTTACTCCAGCAATATTTTCTAATGTGAATACTTAAGTTATGAAATTTGTATCAGCAACATTTGTGAAACTGGGACCAGTAACTATACCAGTTTTATAACAGCCAAACAAAACATTTGATGATAGGTACAGAATATGGCCTTATAGGTGCTACATCTCTACTTAACATGACAGATCTCGGTACCTCACAGCTTTATTACCTTCTGCATGGGTTCGACAAGACGGACGTCGTACACCATGAATCCATCCACGCCCGCTCTGATCTCCTTCCCTTTTCCTCTGTGATATAAATTCAATAAAGTAAGCTATAATCTGTGTCACAATTAATCACGTTAACATTCTAGTTCATTTAAGACCTTGGATCGGACATTCTAGTTTATTTAAGAACTTGGATCGGACATTCTAGTTCATTTAAGACCTTGGATCGGTCAATCAAAATGATACACACAAGCAAGCTTCAAACATACAGTAGTAGGGTTATCTAATAATCAGCTATTAAATGAACACAATTTGGTATAGCCATATTTGACAAATAATAAAAGCTGACAATCAATTGCCTATTCAATTTATAGTTGTCAGTAAGACTGATTAAAATTTTAAAAATGTGAAAACAACAACAACAGAAGAGAAATAAACATTAACAGTATGAGGAATATGGAGGCCCTTGATATAATTCTCATTTTGCAGTATGTATTTTTCAAAATTGTTGCTTAGACACAAGAAGGAATATAAAGGGGAAATGAGGCAGCAAATCAGTCTGTTAATTGCTATTAGTGTACTAGAAAGAGAATAGGGAGGCCCTAGACATGGATCTCTTCTCAATATTTTCTTTCAGTGTCTTTAACTTACAAGAAAGAGAAAAGTGAGGCCAAAGGTAGAATATATTTACAATGCTTTCCTGTTCAGGGAATAAACTGTCATTAATTTGACACAGAGACTATATGCTATCTGTTTGTATAGGATGCTCCCTATATTAATATCATTACACTGGCATGTGGAGATAATGGAGAGAAGGTAAGGTAAAACTACAACACACTGTTTGACAGTTTGTAAAACATTTCCATATTCCACACTTGTAGCTGTCGAGTTGGGAAGCAAGGATGCAGCCATTCCCCCTGTTGCTGGGCAACCACGGCGATGACAGGTTTCAACTACCAAGTCCATGTAACTCTTGAGGAAGTGTCTGTCCATGGAAACATACTTGTTTCTGTCTGGCAGGAGAAAAGCCTTCCTGCATCCTGTAACACAGACCTGGGTGATCAACATTGAGGTCAAACTCCAGTTTTTTGTAAAAACAAAAAATCATGCCGTTGATCTGTGATCAAAATAGTTGCTGAATCTTTTGTTGTTATAGATATTCAAGTTGTAATAATAAAGTTTGTTTGTAAAAAAACAACAAAAAACGTTTAATAACATAAACAATATATTACCAAACTTGTTGATGAATGACGCTGAGTAATCCCAAATCCCACAGTTCAGTCCTGCACTGTGATCTTGTAATTCATAGAGAATCTCCTCCATCTCAAAGGAGGCCAGGACATTCTCAATCAGAACACAGGCCTTCACACATCCGTGGGGCAGTCCTAACTGTACAAGGTAACATATAAAATATCTTAGACCATTACACATCTGTGGGGCAGTCCTAACTGTACAAGGTAACACAACATATCTTAGACCATTACACATCCGTGGGACAGTCCTAACTGTACAAGATAACACAAAATATCTTAGACCATTACACATCCGTGGGGTAGTCCTAACTGTACAAGGTAACACAACATATCTTAGACCATTACACATCCGTGGGGCAGTCCTAACTGTACAAGGTAACACAACATATCTTAGACCATTACACATCCGTGGGGTAGTCCTAACTGTACAAGGTAACACAACATATCTTAGACCATTACACATCTGTGGGGCAGTCCTAACTGTACAAGGTAACACAACATATCTTAGACCATTACACATCCGTGGGGCAGTCCTAACTGTACAAGGTAACACAAAATATCTTAGACCTTTACACATTGTCTAGACCTTACTGAACAAGGTAACACAAAATATCTTAAATCATTGAAGTGTGTCATGCTTGAGGGCAAAATGTATCCAGTTTCTGAGAAGGCAATGCACGTTTGTATTTCATATTATATTGTGTAATCTAACCAATCGGAATGAAATATCTCTTTATGTGGAATAATAAAACACACATCCATGTACCCTAATTGGTAAAAAATGATAATTATTATTGAAAAATGTTATGCAGTAATGATGTCAAAAAACTTCCCCACTTAAAACTCAATATCCCTACTTCAAAACACAAATCCCCCTATGTTGTAATCTGTTGTCATCACATGTAGGTTGCTTGCCTGTTTTTCTGTCCAGGTGAATATTTGATTCCACACATGAGCTTCCTGTCTGCCTTCAAGCTGCGAATTAAAACTGTACAGCTGTACAAATGATAGTGGTTTTATAAAAAGACAACAGCTCTGAAATAGAAACCTTAATATTCCAGCATGTAGCTGTAAACAACACCTCATCATATCAATACCAACAGTACGTAGAACATCATTTTGATGGGCTGGTAGAAGCTATGACTTTTAAATTGACATCTATTTTTGACCTTTGACTACCAATTCGGTTCTGATGAAGCACATGATGCTTCATTACTTCAGTATGTAAGAAGCCATTGGCAGATATTACCTTTGACAAGTAAATCACCTGTAACGGCAGGTAATGATCCCTTATACAGGTAAATTGCAATACCTTAGACAGGTAAATAACACTACTTTGGACAGGTAAATCACACTACCTTATATAGGTGAATCACACTATATTGTACAGGTAAATTGCAGTACCTTCAGGACAGGTAAATCACACTACTTTGGACAGCAGGTAAATAACACTACCTTATACAGGTGAATCACACTACATTGTACAGGTAAATCACACTACATTGTACACATTGTACAGGTAAATCACACTACCTTGGACAGGTAAATCAGTAACATTGTACAGGTAAATCACACCACCTTTGACAGGTAAATCAGTAACATTGTACAGGTAAATCACACCACCTTTGACAGGTAACTTATACTACCTTGGACAGGTAAAAGTATGGACCACTTTTATTGTTTAACAGGTGTTGGGCATTGTGGAACATCAGCAATCCAAAGTCAAACAAGGGCCCAGGGATCTGCTTCCCACTGACCTGTGGACAAACAAGATATATAACATCAGGATATTATAAGACTCTTTCATGCCCAGGGGTGTACCCGGGGGGTTTCAAATTTAAAATCCAGAGGGTGGAATTTCCCTATCCTACATCCTTGGGCATGAAAGAGTATTTTTCTCTCATTCCAACCACCAGAATAAGCCCAGAAACCATGAAAATGCATTTGGACTGGCCACAATTTTGAAAATATCAATTTTTCCCCTGAGCTTTTTGGACGAAAACGAATCAGCCAGCCAGATTAAACATATCTCATATTTGCAAACAAAGTTTGCACAGAAAAAATCATCACATTTTTCTAACGTGTACGGTAAATATATCGCAAAAGGTTTTAATTTCATCACGTCGCCTTTTCCACATTGCGGCATCGGAGAGTTCCAAATTTGTGACGTCACGTCAATGTTGAGCCATTGTGACATCACGTTACGTGAAATGGGGTGTAAGATAGAAATTACCTACACCCTTCTCTTACCCGGGACAGCTCTATCTTACACACAGGGAAATGAGAAAAAAGCTATAACTTAAACACTTTACCTGGAATTTGCTATATAGAGCTGTTTTCCTATTATTTAATGTTATCTGATCATTTAGAATCAGTAGGTCTTTAAATTGAGAATTTGTGTGTATCATCAGCATATTAATCAAGTCCTAATTAGATTTCTTTAATTTGTATTACAAATTCTGACAAGAAATTCACAAGTATATTACAGTGTTCTAATTAAAAGCTGGTTGCAAGCAAAGTAGCCTGCTATCCATCAACTTTGAACCTGCTATATTTTAAGGACATGTATAGGTCAACATTAACCCAGTCATATTTGAACCTTACCAAATCAAATACTGGGAAAGTCTAGTTTAGATTAGGAGTGAATCAGTAAAAGCCTGTCAACATTCAACAAATACATATGAAAGTAAGGGTGATACTTGTTACAATAAGGAGATACATATTAGAGTAACAGAGATACATTTTATAGTGAGAGGATATACCTGCTACATGTAAGGGGATACATGTTAGAGTAACAGAGATACATTTTATAGTAAGAGGATATACCTGCTACATGTAAGGGGATACATGTTATAGTAAGGGAGATACATCTCATATTAAGAGGATACATGTTACAATAAGGAGATACATGTTATATTATAAGGTGATAATCGTGGTTAAGAAGCAGGATCCGGGATTAGCCTTTGTTTATTTACAACAGTCACCAACCCTCTGTCAGTGGACATATATATAATGCCTCTATCCTGCACGCCTCAGTACACAACACTTCATCAATAAGTGAACAAAGCGAACACATACTCATATTTTAAAATATGTACAGCTGAGCAATAGTTAAAACCAAACTCCTATCCCTTCTTTATATTCAGTCATTGTGTTTATTTTTCACTTTATTTACGACATGTATGATATTATCGAAGAATTAATTTGAAAATACGGGTCAAAATACGTAACGAAAGAACTTTGTTTGCAACATTTGTATTCTGTAATGCAATAAATTGATCATGTTCCCAAAATGAAAATCCCTCATCACACATTGTTTTATAGAGCATAAGCTCCTTTCTACTAAAACAAAGGCCCCCATAAAATAGTATAAAAGCACTTTCAAAGAACATGCATAGTTTATATAAGTGCCTCTATTACACAAGGCATAAGCATAAATATCTCATTGTGTACTTCAGGTCAAATCTTCTAGAATATGTGGTTTCAAGCTTAAGGTAAAGGGCACCACTGCATTAGTTCTTATCACAAAGAAGAGTTTCATTCAGAGTTTCTTCCCTTATATACACAAGTGTAATAGGAAAGAGAGTAGTGCACTTCAGCTGAGGAAAGAATTTGTGACCCCCAGCCCCCCCCCCCCCTCCAAGTCTGTTGCTCTTCCGCTGAGCTAGTGCATAGCTATAGAAGACAACCGTAATCCTATCATAATTAATTTAAATCTGCCACACTATTCCCTCTCCAACACGACAACAACCCAGGCTCTAACTTACTGTTACCAAAGGGAGGGCAACAGACACCAATTGTGACAAGGAAGATAGTGCTTCCATTGGGGATGGATCCAGCAATGCACAGATTCCAAGTCTGTCACTCTACCAGTTGGGTACTAGAGGGAAATTCACTCTAGCACAAAGGTATAAGTGATCACAAAGAGTTTTTTCTGGCTTCGAGTGACTCCCTTTGTCAAGGCTTTTATCACTAAATGTTCAATGTTTTTTTTGTTTTTTTTCAAGTTGCCCTTTAGACCCATTTTGATGATGATATGCATTTATTGTTCCTGTTTAGCAACATTGGTAAACTGTAGGATTGCCAGTGTAAAGGTCCTGAGTTTGACTCTTTCAAGTTTTCCTTTTTTTTTTTACATCTTTTTTTATATATTCAGACTTCAAAACATCTATATGGTTAGTGAGATTTGGTTTATATGGCATATTTATGGACTTGAAAACATATTTAAATTTAGTGATATAGTAATGAAACATTTCGAATAACTTGATGTTACCATTTATGTTAAACTTGAACAAAGTCTAATATTGCCTTAACACAGCAAAGGATCAGGGTCTGTGGGGAAACCTGAAACACACAAAGCTTTACTCTGGGCCCAAGCATTAAGAGTACATGTGTAATATACCCTACCAATACATTGGGTTCCACCATGTTCCAGGCTCTGGGTCTCATCATGATCACAGGAAGACGATCAATCGCCGCTACACCTATACAGGGCAGAGTCAGTCTACACAGTACACACAAGATACCTACCAAGTTCTCACCAACAAAATGAGAGTCATTGAAGGTCAAAATGCAGGTCAAATCTTTTAAGTGCTGGTCATTTCAGTATGTTAAACATTTCAAAGTCATCAAAATCAGTACCTAGTAATGGCATCTGGACTTTTTTTGGTGAAAAATTTAAGTTTGCCATTTCTAAAATTTAAAGCTTTAAAAAGGTGATTTTTAAACATTTCCGTTGGTGAGCTAAGTGGTGCATTTACAGGAGATTCCAAAATACACTACAGTGTGCATTTTCTATAATGACTTACCTGGAATCTGTCCATGTACTGCCCGGTAGACATTGTATAATCCTCCCAGCTGATTGGTCCAGGTGGGGCAGTGACCATCATCAAAGTCAGTCTGTTAAACAAAAATACACCAATTTACATATCCTCACATTAGGCATGAGGTAACCTTCTGCATATTGGGAATGAGGTAAATGCCCTTTTACTGTATAGTTTCCTCACATTGGTAAAGAGGTACATCATACGATCTAAGTATCCTCTGATTAGAAACGAGGTAAGCTGCCTCTAATACTCAGAATGAGGTAAGCTTCAGCATATTTGGAATGAGGCATCTAAGTTTATCTCAACAGGAATGAGGTAAGCTTCCTCAAAGTTAGAATAAGTAAGCTCTTTCACCATGGAAATGAGGTTGACTTCATTAATTGGGAATGGAGTAATTAAATATGCACACATTGGTTTGCTTAACAAGATATTCCAGATAGATCTTGCCACCCACCTTCATACGATCTGATTGATTTCTTTTATATAAGTTTGATCTTTATTCTTCTCTGATTTATTGGATTTAATCATGTCAACAATAAGCAAAATAAATCATGTAGTTAGTAGTAAGCAATACCCATCACCCTGCATACCCAAAGGTAACCACACTCGGGGCGAAGTGCCCCACCGATCTACCCATCTATAACTCATACGATCTACCCATCTATAACTCATACGATCTACCCATCTATAACTCATACGGCGTTGGCTTTGCTACATTGATTTGATGTAGTAAGTTTTGTAACTTAGTAACTTATTATTGCTTTGTAAATTGACATTGTCCTTTTAAAGTAAGGTTGTCTTTTCAGCTCTTTGACTTGTGTGGAAAGGAGAAAAAGAGAACTGGCTTATTTCTGGCATCCATCATTTTCATTGTGTTGTGTTCAAAATGAAATACAGGAAGAACAGGAAAAATTTACAAATTTACTTGTTGAATTATGAGAAAGATCTTTACATCCTGAAAAACATAAATTACAAATTTCAATGGTCAAGTTCAAAATGTCTGCCTAGTGGTCATCTTTTTGTTGACAGCTATCAAGCTGAAAATGAGCCTGTACAACTGATTACGACCCAAATGGAGACTGGATAGGAACCGTACATAACTATGACGTACACACACAAAAAAGACAACATGTTTATCGATAAGAACAGAAATAGACATTTAGCGTAGACAAAAGGTCAGAGAATACAATGTGTTCGAATAGTCAACCAGCTTTAAAGTAAATCAGAGATTATTTTAATAACTGTGAACTGTTCTGCATTGAATTCAAGCTTCATGGGAGTTCCAACAGTTTTTTTCTCCATTTTTTCCATTTATCCAGAAATTTGATTTAATTTACTGTTTATGTTGTATTTCTGAATATTGTAACTTTCTTTTATTGTATTAATGAGAGCCCTGGTAGATGATGGTGTCTGTAGACATCTAGCTTTATATATGTACCACTTTATTGTATTAATGAGAGCCCTGGTATATAAGGGTGCCTGTATACATCTAGCTTTATATATGTTCCACTTTATTGTATCAATGAGAGCCCTGGTGGATAAGGGTGCCTGTATACATCTAGCTTTATAATGTACCACTTTATTATATTAATGAGAGCCCTGGTAGATAAGGGTGCCTGTAGACATCTAGCATTATATATGTACCACTTTATTGTATTTATGAGAGCCCTGGTAGATAAGGGTGCCTGTAGACATCTAGCTTTATATATGTACCACTTTATTGTACTAATGAGAGCCCTGGTGGATAAGGGTGCCTGCAGACATCTAGCTTTATATATGTACCACTTTATTGTACTAATGAGAGCCCTAGTGGATAGGGTGCCTGTAGACATCTAGCTTTATATATGTACCACTTTATTGTATTAATGAGAGCCCAGGCAGATAAGGGTGGCTGTAGACATCTAGCTTTATATATGTACCACTTTATTGTATTAATGACAGCCCTGGTAGATAAGGGTGCCTGTAGACACCTAGCTTTATGTATGTACTACTTTATTGTATTAATGAGAGCTCTGGTAGATAAGGGTGCCTGTAGTCATCTAGCTTTATATATGTACCACTTTATTGTATTAATGACAGCCCTGGTAGATAAGGGTGCCTGTAGACACCTAGCTTTATGTATGTACTACTTTATTGTATTAATGAGAGCTCTGGTAGATAAGGGTGCCTGTAGTCATCTAGCTTTATATATGTACCACTTTATTGTATTAATGACAGCCCTGGTAGATAAGGGTGCCTGTAGACACCTAGCTTTATGTATGTACTACTTTATTGTATTAATGAGAGCTCTGGTAGATAAGGGTGCCTGTGGACATCTAGCTTTATATATGTACCACTTTATTGTATTAATGAGAGCCCAGGTAGATAAGGGTGGCTGTAGACATCTAGCTTTATATATTTACCACTTTATTGTACTAATGAGAGCCCTAGTGGATAAGGGTGCCTGTAGACATCTAGCCTTATATATGTACCACTTTATTGTATTAATGAGAGCCCTGGTAGATAAGGATGCCTGTAGACATCTAGCATTATATATGTACCACTTTATTGTATTAATGAAAGCCCTGGTAGATAAGGGTGCCTGTAGACATCTAGCTTTATATATGTACCACTTTATTGTACTAATGAGAGCCCTTGTAGATAAGGGTGCCTGTAGACACCTAGCTTCATATATGTACTACTTTATTGTATAAATGAGAGCCCTGGTAGATAAGGGTGCCTGTAGACACCTAGCTTTATATATGTACTACTTTATTGTATAAATGAGAGCTCTGGTAGATAAGGGTGCCTGTAGACATCTAGCTTTATATATGTACTACTTAATTGTATTAATGAGAGCCCCGGTAGAAAAGGGTGCCTGTAGACATCTAGCTTTATATATGTACCACTTTATTGTATTAATGAGAGCCCTGGTAGATAAGGGTGCCTGTAGACATCTAGCTTTATATATGTACCACTTTATTGTATTAATGAGAGCCCTGGTAGATAAGGGTGCCTGTAGACATCTAGCTTTATATATGTACCACTTTATTGTATTAATGAGAGCCCTGGTAGATAAGGGTGCCTGTAGACATCTAGCTTTATATATGTACCACTTTATTGTATTAATGAGAGCCCTGGTAGATAAGGGTGCCTGTAGACATCTAGCTTTATATATGTACCACTTTATTGTATTAATGAGAGCCCTGGTAGATAAGGGTGCCTGTAGACATCTAGCTTTATATATGTACCACTTTATTGTATTAATGAGAGCCCTGGTAGATAAGGGTGCCTGTAGACATCTAGCTTTATATATGTACCACTTTATTGTATTAATGAGAGCCCTGGTAGATAAGGGTGCCTGTAGACATCTAGCTTTATATATGTACCACTTTATTGTATTAATGAGAGCCCTGGTAGATAAGGGTGCCTGTAGACATCTAGCTTTATATATGTACCACTTTATTGTATTAATGAGAGCCCTGGTAGATAAGGGTGCCTGTAGACATCTAGCTTTATATATGTACCACTTTATTGTATTAATGAGAGCCCTGGTAGATAAGGGTGCCTGTAGACATCTAGCTTTATATATGTACCACTTTATTGTATTAATGAGAGCCCTGGTAGATAAGGGTGCCTGTAGACATCTAGCTTTATATATGTACCACTTTATTGTATTAATGAGAGCCCTGGTAGATAAGGGTGCCTGTAGACATCTAGCTTTATATATGTACCACTTTATTGTATTAATGAGAGCCCTGGTAGATAAGGGTGCCTGTAGACATCTAGCTTTATATATGTACCACTTTATTGTATTAATGAGAGCCCTGGTAGATAAGGGTGCCTGTAGACATCTAGCTTTATATATGTACCACTTTATTGTATTAATGAGAGCCCTGGTAGATAAGGGTGCCTGTAGACATCTAGCTTTATATATGTACCACTTTATTGTATTAATGAGAGCCCTGGTAGATAAGGGTGCCTGTAGACATCTAGCTTTATATATGTACCACTTTATTGTATTAATGAGAGCCCTGGTAGATAAGGGTGCCTGTAGACATCTAGCTTTATATATGTACCACTTTATTGTATTAATGAGAGCCCTGGTAGATAAGGGTGCCTGTAGACATCTAGCTTTATATATGTACCACTTTATTGTATTAATGAGAGCCCTGGTAGATAAGGGTGCCTGTAGACATCTAGCTTTATATATGTACCACTTTATTGTATTAATGAGAGCCCTGGTAGATAAGGGTGCCTGTAGACATCTAGCTTTATATATGTACCACTTTATTGTATTAATGAGAGCCCTGGTAGATAAGGGTGCCTGTAGACATCTAGCTTTATATATGTACCACTTTATTGTATTAATGAGAGCCCTGGTAGATAAGGGTGCCTGTAGACATCTAGCTTTATATATGTACCACTTTATTGTATTAATGAGAGCCCTGGTAGATAAGGGTGCCTGTAGACATCTAGCTTTATATATGTACCACTTTATTGTATTAATGAGAGCCCTGGTAGATAAGGGTGCCTGTAGACATCTAGCTTTATATATGTACCACTTTATTGTATTAATGAGAGCCCTGGTAGATAAGGGTGCCTGTAGACATCTAGCTTTATATATGTACCACTTTATTGTATTAATGAGAGCCCTGGTAGATAAGGGTGCCTGTAGACATCTAGCTTTATATATGTACCACTTTATTGTATTAATGAGAGCCCTGGTAGATAAGGGTGCCTGTAGACATCTAGCTTTATATATGTACCACTTTATTGTATTAATGAGAGCCCTGGTAGATAAGGGTGCCTGTAGACATCTAGCTTTATATATGTACCACTTTATTGTATTAATGAGAGCCCTGGTAGATAAGGGTGCCTGTAGACATCTAGCTTTATATATGTACCACTTTATTGTATTAATGAGAGCCCTGGTAGATAAGGGTGCCTGTAGACATCTAGCTTTATATATGTACCACTTTATTGTATTAATGAGAGCCCTGGTAGATAAGGGTGCCTGTAGACATCTAGCTTTATATATGTACCACTTTATTGTATTAATGAGAGCCCTGGTAGATAAGGGTGCCTGTAGAC